TTATTATTATTATTATTATTATATATATTATTATATATTTAATATATATTATAAATAATAATTTATAAAATATAATTGCATATAATTTAATTAAAATATATTATTTTAATTATAATTTTATAGGATAAAATATAAATATAAAAAATATAATATAATAAATATAATAAAAATAAAAAAAATATTTATTTTAATTATAATTTTAAGAAATTAATTTTTGTAAAATTATATTTTTATAAAATTAATTTATTTTATTGTTATTTATTAATTTTATAAAAATATAATTTTTTAATTTTATAAAAATATAATTTTTTAATTTTATAAAATTATAATTAAAAATAAAATTAAAAAATTATATTTTTATAAAATTAATAAATAACAATAAAATAAATTAATAATGAAAAATATTACAAATTAAAAATAATAATAATTAAAATATTTCTAATATAATTTAGAATTATATTAAATACAATAATACTTAAAATTATAATTTTATAAAAAAGAAATTCCCCACCATTAACAAAACGAGACTGTTACCCATACTTAAGTTTAAAAAGCCCGCGTAACGTTTTACGATGTAATAGTTGATCCTAACTATGAAATGGATATACCCGCAGGACAAAGATAAGGGAAATGAAAGAAAAAAAGATCGTGACATTCAAGTGTCACGTCGGCAGGCACTTCGCAAAGTGGTTAGGTGCATAAAGTTTATTTTCGGGCTTGAAGCCAACGAAGCACGTGTTCAAAAGGGAAGCACCGAACACGAGTTTCCACTTGGTGGCTTCCTCTATCGCGTTCGTCACGTGCGCGCATCGCATCCTCCTCTTCCTTCTCTCCCACCCACCCTCTTTCTATCTTAAGAGTAAAAAACAAAAAACAACGAAAGAGGAAACAATTCAAGGAACACTTGTAACCCTTACAAATTAATTCTGATGTTAGTGAAATCATATTACGTACCCTTTCATTTCATCTTCATCAAATTCATTAGAAGTTTTTCGAATTTTATTTTTTTTATTTATTTAATATTGAAAATTAATTATTCCTATTGGTTAATTAAACTCGTCTTATCTTTACGATACGATTCAAATATGAAAATTATTTATACGTTTTGATATTTTAAAATGAGTTTGTGTGGAAAAATATGTCGTCGGTGTTAATTACTTTGATCTTTTGTAAAAGGATAAATGATTTTGAAGAAAAATAATTAATTATTTTATTGAAAAAGTAAAATAAGTATATTAAAAATAATAAAAATATAAATATAGTAAAATAAATTATATTAATAATAAAACTGAATAAAAGTAAATTTAAAAAAATTAATTAATATTAATTATAATATAAAATAATAAACAATGTTTTTTATAATATTATAAAAGTAAAAATAAAATATAATATTTTCTAAATAATTAATAAAATATTATTTGAAATTAATAATAAATTTAAAAGTAAAATTATATTTGATTGAAAACTAAGTAGAATAAATGATACAAAAGTAAAGGTCAATAAAAACAAATAGTTCGGTAAAAATTAACTAGAAGAAAGTGATAAAATGATAAAAGACAATTATTTGACCTACCGGTCACACAGAAAGAAAGAACTTTAACTAATGAACATAATTATTAGTTAGAATAATAATAATTCGGGGAATGAAGTAGCGCGGTATATCGTTGGTAGTTTCTGAGTCAAGTTGAAAACTACGAAATAAGAAGTCTCACGCAAAGGGAGAAACAACTTTAAACGCACAAGTAGCAAGTAATTCTCGACAATTATAAAGTGAGGTCATCTACGAAGTTTACGAGATGCGTCGTCGTGGCAAATTAATTTAATAAATTCCTTTCTTCGTCTCTACCAGTCGTGTAGTTATATATTATATCACCCTTGCTTTCGCGCCTACTTACTTTTGTGAGTGGATAATCTTTCATTTTCAAAAATTATTTTTTTTTACTGAAAAAAAAATATATATACTTCCGTACATATGCACCTTACGTTATAAATCTTTTATAATTATTTGAAATATATCAACCGAAAACTTAAATCATATTCTAAATTAATATAATAATTTTTTATACGATTATTATATTTGTCCTCGCATATTTCTTTGATGATATAATTGAAGATAATATTTATATTAAAATATTAATTATATTTGTATTTGTTGTATTAAAAGAAATATTACAAATCTATACATTTGTGGTATTCATTATACCATAAATTATTATTAACTTTAACACACATTTAAAACAAAAAATAAGTATTTGATAAACTAAATGAATAGAATTAAAATTAAAAAAAAAAACATTATTAAAAATTATTATAAAAATTAAAATTATAAAAAGACAATAGTATACTAAATTTGGTAATTGGTATACGTGACATTTTTATAATAATTTTTTATACAATTATTATATTTATCCTTGCATATTTTTTTAATACTATAATTAAAAATAATAATTATATTAAAATATTGAATATATTTTTATTCGTTGTATTCAAAAGAAAATTTACAAACCTATACTTGTTATATTCAATATACCATAAATTATTATTAACTTGAACACACACATTTAAAAACACAAAATAAAAACAAAGATAAATATTTAATAAATGAAATTAAATTAAAAACAGTACAATCTATGTTTAATTTGATAATTGGTGTGTACGTGAAAATCGAATGAGTCAAACTATTATATCAAAATACGAACCAATAATATTTGACTTTCCAATAAGATATGCTTAATATTGCAGACAATGCAAATTGAATTAAAAGTAAAAAAACACAACAAAGCATTTTACGTCAGAGTTGTGTCTCGTGGTTTTACATAAATACGTGAAGAACAAAGGAATTCAATGAGCTGTTGGATACTGACAAAACCCGCATGTTGACTACCTTACCTTATCAATATACATTACCAGCATGGTAATTCTATTGCATTCAATTTGATATACCAATCGTTTCTAGACGATTCATTTTCTTTACGCTAAGTCACACATCGACATATTAATTATTATCATTTTAACATTTTTATAAAGAAGTTTTATAAAGGTAAAACACACTTAGACGATTATTTTCATTTTTTATTAAATATATGATTATAAAATGCACATTAAATGTATAATGTTAATATTTGTATGGTTAAATGTTAATGTTTATCAAATATGTTGATAAAAGAACGAAAATTTGAATTTATGTTTAATTATTAATATTTTGGATGATGTCAATTTTGATATTTTACAATTTCGGCGTTTTACGTAACATATATATTATTTATATATGTAATAATATATAAATTTAATAATTATTATATATATAATTAAAATTATAAAGAGATAAAAATATATAAAATTTAATTTTAATATACAAATATTAAAAATTATATAATAATATATAAAAATATATAAAATTTAATTTAATTATTTTAAATATTATATATTTAATATAAGAAATTATTTAATATTAAAAATATATAAAATTTAATTGAAATATATAAATATAAAAAATATAATAATATGTAAAAAAAATATATAATAAAAATTATATAATTTTGTATATATATATAAATATATATATAAATATATATATATATAAAGTATAATAATAATAATAATAATAATAATAATNTAATAAAATATTATATATATATATATAAAAATATATAATATATATATATATAATAAATTATATTATAAATATATTAATTAATTATTATATGTAATATGTATAATATATTATATTGTATATTAAAAAGTTTTAGGGAGTTAATTAATACCAAGTAATCTAATTTTAAAAGACTCTTGTGGTTTTTTGATAAAATAAATGACTTTGTCGGCTTTTAAGATTTCCAAAGTGCCACTACTTCGAATTATCTTTTCTGTAATAAAACAGAATCTCTTCATAGCCACATCTTAAGTTAGAAGATTAAAAACACACGCATACATTGAAAAATTGTTGAAGATATTATTTTTCTTGTTATTCATATCAACAATATAAATCTGATGAAATCAATCTCAACGGAATTTCGTGGTTAAAGTAAAAAGCAAAAAAAGGGGAACATTTGTTAGGACAAAACTTTTTACTCGATGTCCTAGCAAGTAAGTACTTTGACAAATCTTTTGAAAGGCAAGGAAAAAGATGAAGGAAAAAAGCTTTATGTACGTTAGGGAAAAGCATTGTCCTACAGTTTCATTGTACTAGTAGATATATTCTTTCCTATCGAATGGATTCTTATTTACCTGGATTCGATAGAATTAAATTTGGAAACGTTTCTTTTTCTATGTATTTTTTGGACATTCATAAGGACATAGCTCGTGGGAAAAATGTGTATTTATAGTGAAATAAAATGGGGTGGAAATATAGGGATTGGGAAGAAACAGAAATCTTCTTCTTCTTCCTGGTATTCAAGTTTCCCTACTGGTTGTCCTTTTAAAAATGAAGAAAATGATGAAGGGAAAATATTCTTCAAAAATCAAATTCTAAATTCAATACCCTAAAATCGAAAAGGTTTATATATATATATATATATAGGTTTATATAAAGGTTTATATATAAAGAATAGTATAGTGAGATATGGTATAGTAATATTTTATTTATTATTTTACTAAATATATTTTAGGTTATATATATTTTTTTAATATTGTATATTAACCTAAAATAACCTAAAATATCCTAAATAACCTAAAAAACCTAAATAACCTAGAATATATTTAGTAAAGTATTAAATATAATATATATTTCATATATTAACCTAAAATAACCTAAATAACCTAGAATATATTTAGTAAAATAATAAATACAATATATATTTATATATTTTATATTTATTTATCGATTTAATTCGATAGAAAATTATTTCAATGCATTTCATAAAAATTTGACATACAATTTTATGCAATTCGAAATAGAAATTTATTTTATTTATTAATTTTTTTTAAAATAAACTATACTAATAATATTATAATAATGTTTTCTATTACTTGTTGTGTTACAGATTACTTTAATGACTATTAGCAAGAAGAATAATCGAGCATTGCAGCAAGTTTAAGTGTCTAATGATCTCACGAAACTGAAAAAAGAAAAAACAAGAAAAATCGTCGTATGATAAAAACTTTGACGAATTATTTATAAGTACTTATCGCACAAAAAAAAAAGTATTTTCTTTCTCGACCACTGCCAAAAAACAGTCTTTACTAGAAGATTTTTTTTCCTCCTATTTTTGTTCTTCGAAGATATGATATTTTTAGAGAAATACATTGTCAATAGTATTACTTCCTAATATAAATAAGAAAAAAAAGAAAGAAAAAATTATAACAAATGGATAATGACAATCGTTCAAATGATGACAAAATTTTTAATATAATTATTATAATAATATAATAACGAAAACTAAATGGTTTTCTTCAAATATTTCAACGTATACATAGAAAAATACATTTGTAAATGTGTTTGTTACTAAAGATATTTTATAGAAAAACATTGACAAATTTTACTTAAATATTTATAATTATAATATATAGTGAGTGCCTTAAAAGAGTGATGTACAATCATAATGATTCGTGGACCAATATTTAAATAATTAATATATATATATATTATCGATTAACCTACGATTATGTTGCCAAGTAATAATTTTTTAACTGAAATCATTTAAAATATTTGTCTTTAACATTTTAATGAACATATATGTTAACAATATATTAAATAAGAGAAAATGACAATTATTTAATAATTATTGAGAAATTTTGTAATGACTGAAAATATAAAACAAGGCTGGCCATTAAATTTTACAACATTTAACATATTCATAAGACGATATAAACAAATATAAAATAAAATATTTATTAAATACGTACATATTTAACAAAAAATAATATCTTAAAAATACACATATGACTAAATTGTTGAACATTTGTTAACAAGCAAAGAAAATGTGTCCTGGTTTTAAAGTAAAATAAAATGTTAACCCTAAGTTAAAAATATGAAAGAGAATCAGAAAAAATCCCATGTCAGATTTCTCATTCTTATGGTTAAAGGAAATATAAAAAGGGATGTGTGAAAGAAATAGGGAGAAAATTCTACAAGTATTCAAAAAAATAAAAATATAAAAGAAGAGGAATATTTGTATAGAAAAATAAAATATAAAAGAAATTGAAAAACATTACAACTTAAAAAAAATAAAAAAATAAGTGATATAAGAATCAGAATAAATAAAAAAATTCAATAAGCAACAAATATATTATATATAATATAATATATTATATATTATATATATATATATATATATATATATAATAATATATTATTTAATAATTGTATTATATTATTGTTT